GCAGCGGCGGCAGCCCTTAAATTATAGGAACTATAGGAATTACAGGAATTATAGGAAGTATAGGAATTATGAAACCTGTAGAAATTATAGAGGGATGTTACAGGGGCTATATGGGGGGGTACATAGAATGATATAAGGGTATGTAGGAACTGAGAAGAAAATGGGAACTACTGTTTTGGGTTAGTGTTGAGGGCTTAGGGTTAGGCTTCAACATTGTGTGTTTGGGGCTTTGAGAGTTACCAGTTACCGGTCCATCCGAAGTTTGTGGACTTGAGGGCTTTGGGTTGAAAGGATTTGGAGGGTGTTGAGGGCAGAGCCTTTTGTTTTGGCTGATGCATTCCACTGGTGCTCATGGCAGTCAGAGCTTCAACGCTTGATACAGTAGCGGTTGGGTTGACTTGGGGCTGCGGGGCTGCAAAAAGATATTCTCTGGCCAGATGGCAATATGAACATGTGATCTGTTCAGGTCATTGATTCTGGATGCACAGCTGACAGCGTGCAAAGGTTACAATAGCAGATGTATGTCCGAACACCATCCTGTGGTAACAATCGGATATTTCTTCAGTGCAGCAGACGCAGAGCAAACATGAACAAACAACGTTGCCAAGAGTAGTTCTCAGTGATGCGTAGCACGCTGAGTCTAACGGATTGCTGCTGGATGGCGAGCAAGCAAGCTAGGATCCCGTTGTCCCATGGTCACACGAAAATACATTCACGGGCACAAACCTTGTCCCCGTCCTCATTGCCCCACGCACCACATTGAGGACGAGGCAGGCGACTTGGTGGGTCTCCCCTTGCCTGAAGGAAACGATCCAGAGTTCATGGGTTAGGATTTCAGGGGTTGATGAGTTTGGATTGGGGTTCGGTGCTCTCCAGGCCACCTATTGCTTGAGGGGCCATTGGATCATGGTCGAGTCTTCTAGGCATGATCAGGTTCGAGCGTCTTACTGTGATTGCTGTGCTCAAATCATCACCAGCAGCCGAATTGTCATGCTTGCGCTGCAATGTCAGCGCAATAGCTTCAGGATTTGATCATTTTTCAGAAAGTATGGAAATCCTGGGTACACATGCTTCTCACCGTCATCCTACTTACTGCCGCTGTGCATGGTGAGCTCGTTCAAACGTCAATGCCTTGCCCATCTTCGAAGTGAACGCCACCGCTACAGCGTCAGTCCATCAACCCAAAAGCCTAAACCCTGATTGACGGTCGCAACGGAAGTACGGCAATACTAAGTGTAGTAATAACCAGAATGATAGTAGTGATCGATATGGTAGACCCCAAGACACCATAATCCTTACTTTAAGGACCACCAAAAAGGTACCCCTAAATTTTGGAAGCCCTAAACCCTAGACCCGAAACACCAGGATAATGTAACCCCTATAATATTTGTAGTGCCAACGATTAGTAGTAATCACCCTAAACCCTAAACACCCTTATAAAACTTGTAGTAAAATCCCGGTGCTATTGGTAATCAATACAACAAATCCTGATCCCCCGACCTGCCTTGCGTGCTGCCCTTGGAAGTTGGGGTCGGGTCGCCAAGCTCTGCCTCCTCATAGTTAGGGTTTGGGATTTAGGGTTTAGGGTTTAGGATTCAGGGTGTAGGGTAGTGTGTGTGTGTGTGTGTGTTTTTCTCGTTTTTCCTTCTCCAAAGAGTAGCGTCTTCAGGGATGCCTAGGTTTAGGGTTTAGGGATGTCTCCCAGGACGACAAGAACGGTTATTCAAAGAGTTTCATGATGATTTAAGATTCGGCAGTTTTCCTAAATGAGGTGACCCCAATCTAGACCCCAACATACTGTAGCCCTTAATATGCCCAAAAAGGTACCCCCCCCCCTAATTTTCAGAAAACCCCCATTTAGGCTTGTAATCCAAGGCAAGGGATCATGTAAGGAGGCCACTGAAACAAACCTATCTCTGAGGATTTCAGCGCTGCAGGCTAAGGTGTCCAGGATCACGCCCTTGGATGCTGAACCCTACACCCTAAACCTTTCTACCCAACCTTACCTTCCCCGTCCTCTGCAACCGTAGGAAGGGATTTCTCATCTTCGGTCTTCAGAGGAGCGGGTCTCGGCCGCCCTGAAAAAGTTTCTACCGTGAGAGCTGGAGACGCAACAGCTACAACAGAGGCCCTTGCCTCCAGGGCCATCTGAACGACCTACAGATGCAGGCGCATTTGGCTGAGGCTCTGAAGTTTACTAGGAACTCCAACTTGAAACTTACAGAAGACTGGGAGCTCATGCTGGCATCGCCATTTTTGTCCTGCCAAGAAAAAAACGCATACACGACAACATTAGTGATACGCCAACAGCAAAAGCGAGCATTGCTTCTCCCATTTCTCCAGCCCGTGTTCTTGAACAAGCAGATGCCACATCTTCTACAATCATCCTTCTACAGATCTCGAAGCTTGTGAGACATCTATGGAACTCTGGCGCGCCAGGTCCACTTTGCCCTGCTGCTGATGGCAGAACACTGCTGCCTGTTCTCCACAACGAAGGCATGGGAGCAGGGGCCCTCTGCTGAAGAAACGCATCTGCCACTTGCAAGACGACGCGTACCGTGACCATCTCGAGGGGCTATCCAGAAGTTGAGGATGCGATTGGTCGTGACATTGAGCCATGAAGATTCTGGTCTCTGCATTGGTCGTCCTAGCTGGTCGAGTCCGCCTCATCCGCCTCGCCATCAAAGTCATCTTCAAAGTCATCTTCATATACCTGCAGCGCGATGCTGTGGACTCCACTGCTTTGGCTGCCAGAACAACCGTGCCCACACTTCTTTCGCTGGCCATGCCTCGCTGTCGGCATCGTGCGTCGCATCCCGCATCTGCCTCAACCCGACCTCCCTCGATTGACCTTGGCATAGAGCATGAAGGCTTCGCCAGGTGTAGATATATGTGAGTGATTGTGTATCCTGAAGACTTTGCTCCCTGAGGCAAGATCGGCCATGTCCAGCACCTTCATCGCCTGCACTGGGAAGCAGCTGCAGGGAAGACTGTACCAAGTATTCAGCTGCTGCGTTGACTCCAAGCCTTGCTGGTCAAGCTGGCCGTCAGGTGCTCTCGCGCTTGCAGCCTACGCAGCCCAAGGAAATCCGAAGCTTGAAGTTGAACATCTGGAAGTTCAGCGGGTTTTGGCTTCGGGGTTTCACCACCAGATATGTCCATTGTCAAGCACACACAGCCTGCAAGGCTAGTAAACAGTGTCCCGCCGCCTCCTCGCAGGTTGCGGTGGGGCTGCACAGGGAATACTCCTCAAAGGGTCAGTCTGCACATGGGTGGAATCTCTCCGTTTGAAGCTCCTAGCCTGAGCCAGACCCTCGGGAAGCCAGCTCTCTTCCGCCACCAGGAAATCTCCTCGCTTGGAGCGGTAGAGGACCACAAGCTCCTCCAGACCAAGCTCCTCCTCCGCCGCGAAGGTGAGCTCTACACCTCTCCCACAGGGCCTCCAGCATCCACACGCAGGGCCCTGAGACAGGTTCCTGGAAAGAGTCTCCTCTCTGATCCACTCCTTAGAGCGCTTGTACACCTCGGCTCGGAAAGTCGAATCGCTGCGCAGCGTGAGGGTCGACACGTGCTCCACTTCCGTGCTCTCCAGCAGCACCACTTCTATGTGTTCCCAGCTTGAGGCTACAATTGGCGAACAGCCTGCTCGGACGCTCCCTCTGCGAATGGCCTCGATCGACCTGCGAGCAGAATCTCCCACTGCATGGCCCATCGGAGCTCAGGCTAGCAGAGCTTCACTAGCAAGCATCAACTGAACCAACGTGAGCATCAAACTGGGACTAGAAGCCCTTTTCTGCCTAGTCCCAAGAATCATCAAACGTGTAGTGCCTGGTGTATACATATCTTCAAATTTGCATGCAGTCATACCACTTAAAATTATTACACAACCATTGCATCTTCCATTCGATTTTCCATTTTCAAGGCGTGCTACTGGTCTCTGACATTTTTTCTGCAAAAGAAACGCCTGCTCATTGTAGGATTTACGCAGAATATTAAGCTGAGAATCACATGGAAAGGAACATGAAAATGGAAATGGGGCTTCTGCGGGACTTATAGAGGGTTTACATTAATCCTGTGACGCTTGCACATTTTAGTCTAGCCTGCACAGCCGGGCAAGAAAGGTCGCCAAGAATCATACAATGGCTCGTTTGCCATTGCAGCATCGGGAGGCGGATTTGAGCTGTGACGCCCATCCGGGCCATCCCGGGTAAGTGACACTGATAGTGGATCATCCTCACCTGTTACGCCCAAAGTTTGTCAGGCTGTCAGCAGCCGCTGCTGCTGCCTGCCTGAGCAGTTCGATAAAAAACAGCCAACCTGATTCTGCAGGATCCTGCATGACTGCATGACTGCTATGTCTGGCTGGCTGGGGCTTGGAAATGATCCAACATACTTCGCAATAGAAGAACTCGGCAAGCAGATACACTTGCCAAAATGTTGTCTCAACTCAAAATCTAAAGCGACTGTACACTCTGCCATTCTGCAGAGGATGCAGGTGGCGTCGATGCAGCCCGACCACGCCCCTCAGAGTTCAATTCGTGGACAACCCAAGCCATCTAGGGCCTGCCGGTTGAAGGCTGTCAGTCTGCGCCCCTGATCTGCGCACGCTGGCATGTCGGGATGTTAGCATGTTGGGGCGCAATACTGGGGACTCACAATTCTGTAGCAATATGGGTTGACAAGGTTAAGGGAGAACCATCAGGCGCATATTTTGAGCTCGTGGAAGCTTGAAGTTTGTCTCTGGCGGTGTTAGGATACCCCCCTGAACATTGCACGCCCTGCGAACAGCACGGCCTTCTTGCCACACATTCCACAGAAAGCGTGGTCCGGCGGCATTGGCTTGCCTGAAAATGCACAAGTTGCACTGATCAACAGGATGTTCCATGGAGTGACATCCCGTAAACTCAGCCCTGCACCACAGTAGGCACAGAATCGTCGAACTCGCGCTTCCTGCAGCACATGGGCAGCTCATAGCTTCAACTACAAGGTTCTCCTTAAACCTTATAAGCCTTAAAAGGGAAGCTAGGCCAAGCCACCACTGTGCCTTCTCAGCTTGCCACCCGGTCGCTGTACCTTCCTTCGAGTCCTTCGGGCACCTGCCCGAGGCAAGACTGCCGCGTGCCTATCAAGAAAGTGATCACCCCGGTCAGGTTGCCGATTTAGAGTGGGTGAAGGCCAGTAGCAAAAAGGATGCGCAGAGATTTGGCCCCGCCTGAAACTTGTGACTTCCTCGTGGCTGACAACTTTTGCAGCAGAGCCTGCGGCTTGCACTGAGGTCTGTGTGCCCATCATAGCTGTGAAAAAAAAATAGCATGAACAGGACCAAGCGCTGTTCGCAAGAGTGTTCAAAGCTCATGATACTGATGAGGCTCGTGCCTGCAACGTTCTGAAGGTGGTCTGGTAGGGAGCGGAAGAACAGCGCTCGCCCACATTGCAGCGGCCGCCTCCGGCAACCGGAGTTTACGATTTGGCGGCTTAGCGCCTGAAGGTTTGGGGTCTAACCAGGGTTGTGGGCTTAGGATACATGTGAGGACATGAGCACATTATGCTTAAGGGTGCTCGTAGCAAGACTCCTCAGGGAGCCCTTGGGTCTGGTCGTGCGGCCTGCCGCTCCTGCTGAGCCTCATGTTGGCGTAATGCTCGGCCTTGGCTTACGCACATACGAGTGGGGCCTCCAACAATTGGGGATAATTAGGAATTGCTTTTTGGGAGTCCACATCAAAAGGAGTGCAGTATCTTCGGCTGTATGAGAGGGACCCCTGTTTTTGGAAATGCGAATGGGGCTCCTTGAACGCAAGCCGTCACGGTTCCAACAATATGTAGGGATTGCAAGGGAAGTAAAGTACACAGGTTCCTCTCAAGGGCGGGGTATGTAGCGGTTCTGAAGTTCTTAAGGGACTCGGAAGTTTAGGTCGGCCTAGGCCTAGACCTCGGAAAGGGTGTGGAGTCAGGGACTCCTTAATGTTCAAGATGGGGAGGATGCGTTCTGAGGGATCTCATCATTGCGGTGGATACTAAAAATCCTGCATGGCCCTAGGTAGCCCATGGTACTATAATATACTAAGCCCATGCAGGATTTTGTGAAATATCAACAATATGAAATTCTGTGTTCTTGTCATTGCTGCCATTATTGCTACGATGAGAAATGTAGTTCTTACCACATGTTGGCAAAAGAATTTGCAAGATCCCAATAATGATAAGGGTCCTATGCTTTTTTATGCTACATGCTTAGGCTTAGGACATACAGTCACCACATGTCCAACCATGGGGGCTCCTCGACATTGTGGGTTCTGTCCAAAGCTTTATCACGACCACTGAGCCGGATCATCTTATCATGACCTGTCCAACACATTCCTGAAGGCAGAAATGTCCCGGAATGCCCGTCGAGAGCCTGAGCCCAATATAACCCTAACATAACCCATAATAATCCCAGTCTCCATTTAATTTTCCATTTTCTTTTCCATTTGATTCTCCATTATTGGGGTAATATCCCTATATACCCCTTTAAAGGGACCTAGGGTCTCCATTTCATTTTCCAATTTCTTTTCCATTTGATTCTCCATTATTGGGGTCCCTGTATACCCCCAATATAACCCCTTGCTTTCAAAAGCTTGGATCTGAAGCTGAGCAAGAGGCATTGTTTTCGAATCCCTGCAAATCTGCCGGCCTCAGCCAGTCAAAGCTTTTACATGAACATGAGCATCCCCACCCTTATGATTACGCAGGATCAGTACCGGCATTGCCTAGCTGCTTGGTAGGCATCAAACGATCGAATATGTTCGTGAGGACTCGACTTCCGTGTTAGCTAGCGGTCAGTAAATGCTGAGATCCCGGATTAGGCACAAAGTGCTACACTAGCTCTCTTACTCTACGAGTAGGATTGATATCATTGCGGAACAACCCTTGTCCTCAACAAGATTACTTTCGTGGCGGTTCATCAAAGGCATATTACTCACTGAAATCCAGGTCCACTGAAGTTCAGCCCCCCCAAAGCTTGTATGTTCCTTTGCTGCATTAACCCTCACAAGCCCCTTTAGGTAGGACTCATTTATGAAAGCCCCTCCCCTATCAAACCAGAAAATCAAATGATTTCCGACTCATGAAAGGAACCCGGCGTAGACCATGAATTCAACAAGAGATGCCACGTTTACCGCTACGCATCCTCGCAAGCACCGACAATCTTACCTGTGTTAGTAGCATGGAGGAACGGACGTCAATAATGCAGTAGTTTCCATTTTCCCGTCCTTCGGTTACTCCCAAAAACCTACTAAAAACCTTTTTTGGTCTCGTCTTCCTAAATTTCCTAAACCCTGCAAACAACCGAGAATAAACAAGAATTGATTGCCTCTTGTTCGAGCTCGCGACATGATGGCTGCCGGCGTCTCGGGGGACGACAGTTTCAACCTGGGAAGCACCCAGGGGCACTGGGCCTCAGCCTTGGGCTTTGAAGAACTGTAAGCCTCGGGTTGACAGCCTAGACCGGGTTGCTGTTAAGAAACTTAATTAGAATTATCATAATGGTATATGTAATAATTACTATGGCTTCCCCATTGTAGTGACTTCATTCAAGCTCCTTAACAGCAAGCCAGCAGAGCTTCATGGTTCTGTAGGTGGGAGTTGCACGCAAGGCCCACCTTCAGAACAATCTTCTCTTGGCCGGTGTGAGAAGCCACCGTGGATTTCCAGTCTCAACCCACTGAAGCTGAGCAATAATATGTCACTTCGCCATTTGCCGCAGGGATCAATGCTTTCCATTTGACACTTTCAACCTGATACCGTGCCAATCGAGACTGCTCTGATTTATCGCGCTGCCAACTTTTGAAAGAACGGAAGGCTTCATCAAAGCGGGTTCTGCTGAAAGCTGTCATTCGCAACTTTGCCTCCGCTCTCTACTGCTGGAAACACTCCTGCTGGCTGTTCGAACCTTCCTTGCTCGCAAGCTTTTTGGCCATGCCCCCCCCAAAAAAAAAACAGATAGGAGCCACGAACCCAAATG